GGTTCAATGATCAATGGGTTGGGGGGGCACATAGATTTAAGGTAAGGGGCAGATTTAATGGAGATGTGAGGAAAAACATCTTCATCCAGAGAGTGGTAGGAATCTGCAAACTCACTGCCCATAAGTACGGTAGAGGCAGAAACACTCACAACATTGAAGTGTTTAGATGTACACTTGCAATACTAAGGCATACAAGGCCATAGCCAAGTGCTGGAAAATGCAATTAGAATAATTAGGTGGTTATTTGAGAATGGCATGGGCACGATGAGCTGGAGGGCCTTTTTCTGTGCTGTAGATCTCTAAAGCTCTAGAGCTCAGTCTCATAGGGCTTTTCCAAATCTCACTCCAGATTCACTTAAGTCCCTCACCCTGGTCCCATTCCAAGAAATCTCCTCCACAATTTCTCCATGGCCTCAACATTGTTCCTAAAATGTTTCAGGAGAAAGCAGGAGAACATTCCAGCAAAGCTGCAGTCACTGTGATAAAAGGTATACAACATGTATTTTGAGATTTGGATTTCAAAATCAAGGTAGGCAGATGTGGGTTAGTTCTGTGAAGGTTAGTTTTTAGAAACAGATCAAATGGTCATGTGGATAAAGACCAACTTGCATCAATTCCCAAGAAACTATAAGATTGTAGTTGACTGCCTGGGAGAACCTCTGTTGTGTTTATGATTGAAATGTATAGGTTGTTGGAGTTACAGCAGGCAAGGCAATTACTTTAGTTTTGAATTCAGAACAGATAGTGCAAAGTTTCAGTTCGGAAGAACCCAGAGTTAGTTCAGGAGGTCGAACAATTACTTTTAGCAGGAGAATGAAATCAGAAGTTGTTTCTAGACTGTAGAGTCTCCAAGCCAGGAGAGTTTGAATAGAAAAAAAAAGTCTGAAGGGTCATTAGACCCAAGGCATTAATTCTGATTTCTCTCTGCAAATGCTGCCAAATCTGCTGAGTTTTTCCAGAAATTTCTGTTTTTGTTTTAGAGTCTGGGTAGAAATCTCCACTTGTTAGAACTGAGAAAGTTCAGGCTGTCAGAACTAAGATACGTTCATACCAGCGGACCCAGGAAAGAATCATAAAAGTGTCAGTGCAGAGCAAAGGAATAAAAACTGGCCAAGTTAAGTAAAGGTTTTAAAAATAGAAAATAGAAGCTGGAGTAAGCCACTTGCCACGTGAAGCTTGCTCCGCCATTTAATATGATCTTGGCTGATTCATCTAACTTGGTATCTTGTTCCCACTTTCTCCATATTCTTTGATCCCTTTCGCTCCAAGAACTATATCTGTCTCCTTCTTGAAAACAGTCAATGTTTTGGCCTTTCTGAGTTCTGAGGAAGGGTCACCGGACCCAAAACATTAATTCTGTTTTTTCCTTCACAGATGCTGCCAGACCTGCTGAGCTTTTCCAGCAACTTTGTTTTTGTTCCAATGTTTTGGCCTTGCCTGCTTTCTGTGGCAGAGAAGTCCATGGGCTCACTACTCTCTGGGTGAAGCCATTTCTCCTTATCTCATTCCTAAATAGTATACCATGTATCCTTAGACTGTGACCTCTGGTTCTGGACTCCCCAGTCTTTGGAAGCATCTTTCCTGGGGTTTACTCTGTCTAATCCTGTTAGAATTGTATAGGTTTCTAACAGATCCCCCTCATTCTTCTAATCTCCAGCGAATATAATTCTAAGCAACTCAGTCTGTCCTCATACATCAGTCCTGCCATCGAAGGATTCAGGAAACTGCACACTCCAGATGAGGTCTCACCAAAGCCCTGTACAACCGTAGCAAGACATCCCTGATCCTGTATTCAAATCCTCTCACAATGAAGGCCAACAAACTATTTGCCTTCTTCACCACCTGCTGCACCTGCATGCATACTTTCAGTGACTTACTTTCAAGTCTCATTGCACCTCACCCTTTCCCAATCTATCACTATTCAGATAATAATCTGCCTTCTTGTTTTTGCTACCAAAGTGGACAACCTCACATTTATCCACATTATACTGAATTTGCCTTGCCTTTGTCCACTCACTCAACTTGTCTAAATCACACTGAACTGTTCCAGCATCCTCCTCACAGCTCACCCTCCACCCCAGTTTTTTTATATTTGGGAGACATCTTTCTCTGGGATTGAGTGTCTGTAACAGATTTTGTTGGGAAACGGCTAAAAACATTGTATTGATGTTCAGGTTAAGATCTTTCTCACTGTCTCCTTTTGTTTCTCCTTTCTCCTTTTTTGTGAAATAAACTTCTGTTCTATTCTTAAAGAACAGCTTCGACCATCTTCAATCACTGACCACCAAAATAAATTATTACAAATATTAAAGTTATTGTCTATCAAGCCAGGTTTCTTTGTGGGATATGACTTGTCCAGTATTATTATCATCAGCTGAGACCATATGAAAGTAGGAGCTTGAGCAGGATCAGAATTCCTTCTGATAATTTTGAGGGTTGTTGTGAAGGTCTATTGCATGAATTGGACATTTAAAATAGCTCACAGTGTTACAAAGGCTTTTCTGGGAATAAAGGATGAAACAATGGATTATTTAAAGTCTTTGACAGATGATAAACTGAGAACTAGTGGATAAATTGAAGTTAGAAATAAATGCAGGATCTTGGACAATGATCAGATAATTAAAGGATTTACCCAGCATGTAGAACTAAAAGGAAGAAGCCTTGAAAATGATGTGCCACCACTTGAATTCAGTTAGAAGTTAAAATCTTGACTTAGAGAATGAGAAATGGAAAGACTTGAGTCGGAAGAAATTGAGAAGATGACAGAAATGGAGACAGGAGAAAGAAAGGAAGGAAAATTGGAAATATTCAAGCTTCAAGTGCAGAGCAAGCAAAAGCAAAAAAAAAGTAAAAACGAAAGAAAGGAGGAAGAAAAAAAGACAGGAAAATGGAATTTAAAGAGCTTGAACTCCAAAGATTAAAGGAAATCAGACAACAAGCATTCAAAAGAGAAGTTGAGAATAAAGGAAGAAAGAAAAGGTAGTAGTTCAGAGAATAATTCTGATTCCAGTGAGGGATTTGATTGAACTGAAAAATCTACATTTAGTCCTACATTTATTGAGAGTGGAGTTGAATGATATTTTACTGCATTTGATAAGGTCTTTGGGCAGATGAAGGGGCCAAAAGATGTTTGGACCCTAATGTTACAGAATGTTTGACAATTACAGCACTGAATGTGACAAGTACAGCTCTCAATGTGTATGTTGGTTTGTCTTAAGAACAATTTGCAGAGTTTGAAACTTTCAAAGAGGCAATACTTAACCTGATGACAATATCACTGAAGATTATCAATTATGATTTAGGAACACAAGAAAAAAATCTAATCAGCTATGTATAAAATTTGCAAGAGAAAAAGAAACACTGTGGGATCAGTGGTTTTGATCACTGAATTTGGAGAAACATTTCAAGAATACAAGGGAAATCATGACTATGGAAGAATTTAGAAATAGTCCAGATATCATAGAATCTCTACAGTGTGGAAACAAGCCATTAGGCCCATCGAATCTACACTGAGCCTTTGAAGTGCATCCCACCCAGACCCAACCCTCTACCCTATCCCTGTAACCCTGCATTTCCAAAGGCTAACTCACCTAGCCTCCACATCTCTGGACACTAGGGGCAGTTTAGCATGGCGAATCCACCTCACCTGCTTATCTTTGGACTGTGGGAGGAAAACAAAGCACCCGGAGGAAACCCACGCAGATATGGGGAGAACGTGCAAACTCCACACAGGCAGCTGTCCAAGGGTGGTGTACAGAAGGTTGGGATATTCACTGATGATTGCACAATGTTTAGCATCATTATCGCCGCCTCAAAAACTGAAGCAGTCCATGTCCAAATACAGCAAGAATGGATAACATACAGACTTGGGTTGAAAAATGGCATGTCGCACTCAAGCCACTCAAAGTCAGGCAATGATTGTCTCCAATGAGACAGAATCTAACTACTTGACATTTAATGGCATTAT